TAGTCTCGCAAGGGCGGTGGTAGCTTGCTCCCCCGCCGTCCGGGGGTGATGGGTAGCAAGTGCTGGTGACTGTACGTACAGTCACCTTGTACAGTACACCTTGTGACCAGTCACATAGTTGGGTTCATATTGTGACCCTTAGTGACCTGACCTCTGTGAACTGACCTGGCATCAATGACCTCTTTAGGCAACATATGTATTAGACAACCAACGCTCCATCGATGTTTTTCGATAACATGCCTTTTATTTGATGTGTTAACTGACTGTAAACGCATTCCTTAGACTAAATCGGTTAAAAAATGCGACCTTTGACCTGACTTGTGACGTCATGGGTTGCACCTAGGTCAACGAAACCTGGTAACAAGGTAGTTCCCTGGTGGGGCTATCAAACGCTCTCTGAATGTTCAAAATCGGTCGGTAACTTTCCGAGATCTCAGGTGGAATGCGAAACGGCTGCACCACCCCATCAGGTGGTAGGGTCCGCCAATAGCCCAACGGGGCGCGGATTATTTATTCACTCATACAGTGTCATTTATTTTGAGAACACCTTTCTTACGCCATGGCATGGTCCTCTCGTAATAGAACGAGATGAGGAGAGTGTTTTCACGCCTCCTTATGCACGGCACTAAGTGTCATTGAGCTATCAACTGTCAGCGGTTTTCGGACAACGAAGTTCTTAACTAGTTCTTACGTAAATCCAATTTATTTCAAACGATTGTCACTGTGCTAGTTTTCTTTTTATACGTTTTTGAAAAAGCGCTGAAGAAGTCTTTGATAGACGAAACCGGTCCGCTTATTCTTTTTCTATAATTGTTTTTTGAATATATTCGTAGACTACTGGCTCTTTACTGCAAAATTTGAGAATGTTTGGTATTACTTTGACCCGAACGATGTGCAGCTGAATTTTCCCTCTTGAATGATTATAGACAGCTCGCGAAATTAATTTCAACCTAAACTACCGACAAGCAGAAGAAAATCCGATACAAGCCTACCTCAATCCTCTCACCTTATTCGACCGTTGAAACGTTAAAGGCATTTGTTCAGTCCGAGTCGCTATGTCGACCACCCGCGCCGTGCTGGGGGGGGGGGGCGTTTTTACGCCCTTCCCCCCTCAGGTTTTTCGCGAATATCTCAAAAAAGGCGACGCGACGCGTAGCGTCATTCAAGGTCAGGTCACCAGGTAACGTCAAGTGACCTTACCTCAGAAAATTTTCGAAAGCTCGCTGTAGCTACACCGACAGAGCGATTACTTTAAAACTTTCAGTAATTACTTAGGGTAACAGTATGTATAAAATGGATACCTCGGATTTTTTATGTCTGTGACCTAAGGTCAGGTCAATTTTGCGACTGCTCCATTAGGTATACCTAAGTCAATGGGAGAAAATTGAAATGCGCCTCTTTTGGACGAATTTCGTTCTACACCCTCTCAAACATCGGTCCATAGGTAAACATGACACACTGAATCGGAAAATTGCACCTGTGACCCCTGTGTGTACCCCTGAGGTCATTTTAGGACATACAAGGTCTCCAGCAGTTTTTTACTTTTGACAGAGACGTGCTAGAGCGGTGAAAACACCGTTGATCTGAGGTCAAATTTGAGGTCAATCAGAGCGGTGCCCTCTGGGGGATAAACCGTTGATCTGAGGTCAAATTTGAGGACATGTTGGCGAAAGAGCGTTAAAAGAGCTATCGAATGCGCTTCTCGGCGGCACTGTTGCTCTATTGGTTCCCGAGTTAGCCGTCGGGTGTTCAAAATCGTTGAAATCAAAATTTGACCTTTGATGAACCCTGGTGACCTGACCTTTGCCCTGACCTTAAAATGACCGAGTGTTTTCCTCCTTACTTTTGACGCTCTTTCGATTGCCGCTTACCGCGTGTCGCTACGTGGCCCAGGAGCCGAGTTAGACGGAGGGGCGTGAAACGCCCCCCCCCCCCCCCACCAGCACTCGACGGAAAGTTCATGCCACCAACACGGCGCGGGTTAATTGTTATGTTAGCTATAAGCTAGCTCCTGTTGTAAGCTGTGGAGTCGTGGACCTGATCTTGAAGGAACTGGGCCTAACATTTTCATAGTAAACGTAAAAAAATGTTTAATAGGTTGTGCAAAAATTAGCATCTCTTTTATGAAACATTTGCGAAACCTTCAACATCATCCCCAGACCCCATTAGTGCCGAGCTCCCAACGACGACCATAAAAGCGTCCCCATCCAGTCATAGGCGGCGGAACGGGGAGGGCACTGGGGCACCGTGCCCCACTTTGATTTTGGCATTTCAACATTAGCCCTATGAGCGTTGCATGGAAATAATAGGACCAAGAGTCGGCAGTGCCCCCCCCCCCCCTTAATTGAAGGTGTTCCGCCGCTACTGCATCCCGTCAACGTGGGTTTATCATAAGGATGCTAAGATTTAATTTCCAATCCGGAGCTGTAGGTAATGATGGAAGGCAAATTTACATTTTACATGTGAAACAAGCTGACACAACTAGGTAAGTATTTCCTCTCTCGCACCCTCTCACTGATTTACCCATTGCACTCTTTCTCATTTTACCCTCTCTGGTTTTCCTTTCGGTCTCTCTTTTCTCTCCTCCCGTCCTTATCCCTTCCCTCCAGTCTTTCTTAGCCCTCTCTCACTATCTCTCCCTCTCTCTCTCTCTCTCGCTCTCTCTCTCTTGCTCTCTTTCTCTTGCTCTCTCTCTCTTGCTCTCTCTCTCGCTCTCGCCTCTCTCTCGCTCTCTCTCCTCTCTCTCTCTCGCTTTCTCGCTCTCTCTCTCTCTCTCTCTCTCTCTCTCTCTCTCTCTTGCTCTCTCTCTCGCTTTCTCTCTCTCCCTCTCGCTCTCTCTCGCTATCCCTCTCTCTCCCTCTCTCTCCCCCTCTCTCTCTCTCTTTCTCTCTCTCTCCCTCTCTCCTCTCTCTCTCCCCCTCTCTCTCTCCCTCTCCCTCTCTCTCTCTCTTTCCTCACAATATTCTCGGCTGTCGCAGCGTTGTAGGGCTTGTTTCCAGACAGGTCCAGGCGCTCCCCACTCCGCAGGCCCCAGCCCACACGGCCCAACCGCTCAAACACCCTTCGGCGGATGACCTCTGACCTCGGCAACCTGACCCCAGCCGACCGATCGCGTCCCTCTCCACGCCTCCGCCCCGCTTCCCCCACTACAGCTGCGTAGTAATTGTAGCGTGTGCAAAGGTCACGTGACATTATTTACTTCTGCGGCTTGTTCGGCTGACAAGAGATGGCACTAGTGGTCTGTGGATCAGAGGCGGGGCTAGGTTCTACGACTTCTTGGGGCTCACTTTAGGGCAGAAAAGAGGTTTTTTGGCTCCCCATCCCAAAATGCTTCGAATATACAAAAACAAGTTAGATATTCGAAAATCGGAGGACCAAACGGATCGTTTGACGTATCTTGCGCGACTGAGAATTGATCGGTCTTCAAACTACTGAGCAAAAACGAGGTGATTAGTAGCAAGTGCTGGTGACTGTACATAAGCAACTGCGGGTCCCAGTACGCGCGCGCTGGGTACGGCCCCGGAAAAGACTTCCGTTCACCCCCTGACCGGTCAGGGTCACAAAAATTCGAAGGTCACGTGACTAGAATGTAACCAATAGGGGAAGTTGGGGCAATGCCGGAGTTGGGGCAAAGCCGAAATTCGAGATATTTCGAAAACCGTAAAACATGGATGCCACCTGTCAGTGATGCTCTGAAGCTTAAGTGACTACAATTATCGCATGTTTGTTACGAGTCGTCATTCGGAATACTTCGACTGTGAGGGCGCCAAGAGCGTTTTCAAGGTACGTTTCCCTTGTACTACATGCGCCTTTGAAGCTGCATTTTTTACTCATTATGCTACCGTTTGTCTGGCCAATTCGGTCAAGTAATCTTTAGCATGTCTTTGCATAAGTGTGCTGCCTATTTGAAATTTATACAGCACGTTGAAAAGTTATGGGCCTGCAAATGAAAGTATGGCTGGCTGGGGTAATGCCGAAAACGTGCGATTACGCACGTGTTAAAAGCACGCTACGTGGACTTTACTGCTGTAGAATAGCAACGCGTATTTTTAGTCACACAAATTACACTTTCAACCGACACAACGGCCTGTTACCTATAAGGAATGATTTACCTGGCATTTTCTTATTATATCACACAATTATAACTTCCAGTGTGCACCGCGTCCTCAAGCTCTTGAAACGTGTGTCAGCTTTGGTGAATTCTGGACAAAGTTTGAGATAAAATGACAAAACATCAATGTCGGCATTCCCCGTAGATCATTTCTCCCATTTTCGGCTTTCCCCGCAGTCCGGGGCAACGCCGAAAAAGTCAGTTCTTTGATATTTTTAGTTTTTGCGCTTAAAGGTATGCGAATTCATCAAATGCGCCTGGTATGTTTGAAAGACAAAAGACTGGCCTCTCGAATGACGCCAACAAGAATAGCTTATGTTGTCTACCTTGCGTGCTACGGGCGTCAGAAAAAAAGTATTCGGCGTTCCCCCAACTTCCCCTATGGTTTGGCAGCCAGTACCGGCGAAATTATATCAAAATTGCGCAATAGAAGGCAGAATAAAGTTTGTGGGAGAGTGTGACATTAATTTTGGGACACCCTGTAGGTAGGTTGCCTTAGTGCGGAAATCTGAAAAAAAAACATGGGGGGGGGGGGGCGAGAGCAGCATGAGGGAGCCGAACTCAAGACTCGGGGCCGAGGGCCGCTTAAAAGCATACAAATTGACACCGGTGGCTTTTGGGCTCCAGGGGGGTCGTGGCCCCTTGGCTACGCCCCTGGTTGTAGATATGACATAAGAGTGATTTGATCCCCCTATTCGATGAACTGAAACACATTCGATGAACTGTTTCAGTGAACTGAAACATTCGAGTGTGGGGGTGACGAGGTGGGGTTGGGGGATTTAGCTAAATGTGAAGTAGCTTATCAACTAGTGAGCATTGTTGGCCCTTGCTGCGGTGGTTTCGGGCCGGCGCGCCGATCACCTCCTTGTGTGCGTGCCTCTGTCGCCAGGAGGAGCAGACCTCATCTCGCAAAGTCAACCAGCACCGGCGCCGACTGCGCGAGGGAGCCGACCGTCAGCGACCCCCCGGTACTGGCCAATGGGCACACAGCAGTGGTCCGCTCTGCAGCTGCTCGGAGAACCGACCGGCCTTTCCGCCGCCAGCGTCTGTCTGTCTGTCGGTCGGTCTGCCGGTCTGTCTGTCGGTCTCTGGAATGTCTCTCTGTCTGTCTCTGTGTCTGTCTATTTCTCTGTGTCTGTCTTCCTCTCTGTGTGTCTCTGTCCCAGTCTCTGTGTCTATCTCTGGCTGTGTGTCTGTCGTCTCGGTGTCTGTGTCTGTCTTTGTGTCTGTCTCTGTCATGTTGCATTGTGAACTTTGTTTACTTGTTTGTTTGTTTTTCTGCTGTTACCGCCACTAGAGCTCGCCTGCACAGACAGACGGACGGGAGCTGTGCTGAGCCCCTGTACAGACGGACTTGGACGGTTACGGTCGGCCAGCTGACGTACAGTAGGTCTACTAAAAAAGTATCCCGCTCTAGAGGCGGCCGGCCGGCCGAACCCCCCGCCCGATTCCTTTCCCGCCCGACTCCATTCCAGCCCCGACTCTATTGCACAGGCCGCGGCAGCGACACGGGTCAGGTCGCGGCACCCGGCGAGTGGGTCAGTTGGCGGCCGCCGGCCGTGGAGTGAGGACGCCGTGTGTGGGGCGCAGATATGCCGATTGCGGAGGAGGGGAAGATAGTGACTCTGCACTATGCCGGAAATGATGCCTTTGTGATATAAATTAAACACCTGCAGTGCATATCCTCCCTTGCCCCATTCCTATTTTATCATAATCCTTCAATAATCCGTAATGACCATTCAAAGCAAGCAAGCAAACAAAACAACACGTTTAGCGGCGACATCATCTCGGATAAAAAAGCGACAGTGATGATTAGAATAGACTTAGCGCGAGGGCAAATCGACGGGTATACATGCATCACATACCGTAAAGTGGGGCTATTTGAGACAGTATTTAAAATCGCTTTAAAATGAAGAGCGTTTGATTTTTATGTGATATTTTTGCTCAGGAAGGTGTAGAATCGAGCAGTAAATCGCCTCAGCAAAAATTAACCATCAATTTCAAATGGTTTTTATTTTATAACAATTTTAAATACTGTCTCAAACAGCCCCACCTTACGGTACAGAGTATTTTATTCCCGAATTAAGATTGGGGATCTTGTCCAACAAGTCAGTGGCCGTTCTAGACACAGATAAATGCTTTGTTTTTGGTCGCATCATTTTCTACAATAATTCGAAGCCGAGGTTTAACCCTCGCCGGCCGAGAAGAATGTCTCCATGTATTTTTTTGCGGTAGCTCAAAGCACACTGATGATAGAAGGCTGACATTTCATATGCCTTACATTGATTCAAGCTGGATCATTTCACATCAACCACGTTTTCAGGTCAGGTCACTTAACTATGACGTCTTAAAAAAACCTGTGCACGGTTGTCGGTTATAAAATGATGCAAATCCGCAATGCACTTAGTGTCATATAAGCATAATGGGAAATATGGAAACTGTTAATTTGGCGTCGGAAGTGATCTGAAACTATACCTCAAGCACATGAAATCGTGACTTCATACATTCTTGGCAAGGTCTAATGCTTCACTTTAGCATTGTTCACCTTGCGTGACGTCATTTATGACGTCACTAGGGTCATAGGAGTGTTTCGTCAATAACTCCCGATCAAAATGAGCTAGCCAGTCGGGGCAGCCATCAATGGACTTTGCCAAGACTTGCCGAATCAAATGTTATGCAACATGTCCTCCTTTCAACAGCTTCGTGACCTGTGTTTCCCTAACATGACATTGACCTGAGGTAAACATCCTAAATTGCTTAACCTAAACAAAAAAAGCTTATAAATCGACGCGTCTGAGAACAGAAAACACGATTGTATCGAAATGATGATAATGCGACCTTTCTTGCGAAGCTATTTACCAAAAACCGATCCAATGCCTTGGGGTCCTTGACCTGCCCTAAGAGGTCACTGATATTTTAAAATGGGGTACCAGTCGCTGCGTCAGGTAACGACGCAAGCGCTCGTTTTTTCCGCGAAGCTCTAGCAGCTACATAGCTCAATTATAGGAGCTAAACATGGGGTTGGGGAATCGCTCCCTTCTCATTCACTATTTGGCCGGGATAGTGTTTGCAATTATTGTTAAAATCTAGGATTTGAAGATTTCAAATGACCCATTTCTTCCGGCCCAAGTCTTTCAATTCAAGGTCATAACACCAGGTCACGTCAAGTGACCTTACCTCAAGGAAAGTTCCTGTGCTCATCATATCTAAATACATCGACTAACCGATCGCTTTAGAACCTTCAGCGATTTCAATGGGCAACAGTATATGTATTTGAAACGTTTACTTTGCAAGTTTGACATTGCTGACAGAAAGGTCGGATCAATTTTGAGATCGCTAAAGTCAATAGGAGAAAGTTGAACTGCGCTTTTTTTTGGACGGAACGCATAATAAACACTCTGAAAACATGTGGTGCCTGATGAGATGCAATACTGAATGAGAAAATTGTTTGTTTTGTTGGGAGCCATCTTTTTCGGTCTGAGAAGGCCCTTGCAGAGCTATGACATAACTATGCTCTGGTGTAGTAATTTGGTTGTGCGAGCCAGCGCCAGTGATCTGCGGAAGCGTGACTGTTCCCGTGGGACGATTGCCCTGTCGGGTGGTCCAGCCGTCTCCCCAACGGTCACCCGAAGAGGGTTATGTGTCTTGGAATGGAACCGACATCAACTACAGGTTGGCTGGTGGGGTGACCTCCAGTCCAGAGAGGGAAGCATGAAGACTAGGGGCGATGCGGATTGGTTTTTCCTGAGGATAGCGAGGACGGAAGGAATCTAGCACCCTTGACACTTCCTTATACTGAATGTATCTCAGGCTGTTAAATCTCCTAAGCGTTTTTTTTTTCTCGACATCGTCAAGGTGTCATTAATAAAAATATGAAATCCGGGAGGATAAATTAAATATAGAAATTGTGGCCAACAGAACATTATCAGTTGCGTTCAACATACTCGTTAGCATGATCACACACCCAGCTTACATATGAGCCATCTGCCATGTAATAATTATTTTTTATAGACGTGCTTAAGTTATGAAATCATCTGGCGTTTTTAAAGTTCCACGATACGGATCTAATATCCTGCTATGCATCACGACCATTTCTGGTCAGGTCATGACTTTGAACATAGACCAATTTTTTCAAATGACTTTTAAAGATCAACTTTTGATTCATTCGAAGCGTTTCGATAAGGAGGAACACGAGGCTGGTAAAATTAATTTCATGCAAGTTTTAAGCTAAAAACTTTCAAGTGTTTGTGGAAAAGCAAATGATTTTCTCACAATACCGATGGTGGCAGTTGTTAATTACATGCTAAACGGTTGACCTAAATTAAATCTGACAATATTTTTCAGACATAGCGGTAAACGAGCTGATTGTTGTGTTAGGTTAGGCTCTTTCGGTCGATTTCAGAGTGGGAAGGATGACAGGAATTAGGGGGAGACAGGGGGCCTGGGCGAGAGTCCTGGACCTCATGCTCCGCTGGGGCCGAGCCCATCACGTGTATTGGATTGCCCTGGCACATGGATAGCCCTGGGCGGTGTTTCACGGCCCCGCGCTGCAGCACGCTGCGCTTCGCTGCTGCATTGTTGCGGCGGTTGATATGAATTCGGCTCCACGCTAGCGTTGCGAGCTTCCGAGTCTGTTGATGTTTCCATGGAAATTGGAAACCCAATGCACTGGTGCGCGCACCGCACCCTGTCCAAGCAAAATTTTACCATCGATGACCTCTGGTGACATGACCTCTGGCTCTGACCCAATCTAAAATTGGCTGAAGTATTTTTTTCAGGTATTTGAACGTTGTGCTGAGCATTGTTAATAAGATTATTAGAATGATGAAGAATAAGCTGTTGCTCATTTCTATCAGAAATAGAAAAAATAAACCAATATATATTCGGGCGTGGCCCTTCTTCAGTGGTACAAGATCACAATAAGGTAGATGCCACGTAAAAAACGTAGTCTATCAGATCACTTGCAACCTCTGCACCCAAAAAGCCACCTACATAGGTGAAAGTAAAAGGAGAGTTAGGCTCCGCTTTAACGAGCATCTGCGTGACGCCAAAAACCACACAAGAAACACCCCTTTCGGAGAACACTTCATGACCTGCCATTGTAACGTAGAGCCGAGCCACGATGCCCTCTCCATTACAATTCTTCAAATCTGCAAAGACGTAGCTGAGCTGAAGATCGCCGAGTCCATCGAAATTCGCAATCATCGCCCCACACTCAACACAATGACATCATCTTGGCCGCTCATCAAGCCAGTACCATACTCAGAGCTATAGACGGTCTTGTGATCACGCCAGATAGTACATACTTAGATTTTGATTAGATCACATTATTTGACGCCTTCACTCATTCACACATCGTCGGAACTAATTCCCTTACTCTTTCTTGCTTTTACCCATTCATCCTCCCATTCATCACTTACGTATACACGACTAACACATACACAAACATAGCCCCCCCCCCCACACACACACCTACACTTACGCTCATGCACTCGAACTCACAAACACATAACAGTGACCATACTGTCTGATGTCTGATGAGGCTGATGTCGAATAGTTAGCAATGTTATACAATAAGTGCTATTCTTGGCATAGGCTATGGTGACAGTATAGGCTATGGCGAATATCATGCCCCGATGTACAGGACGATGATTCGTTAAAATGACCTATCTAGGCATATAAATGTTATGCAAACCGAGCGTAACTGTAACGTATTGAATTGTACCTATGTATATGTATGTACTGTGCAATCATTTATTAGCTATCTAAATCTAGATCGACGCCTATCTTGGAAGCGCATGCAAAATATCTGTGAGTGATTTGATTCAAAATATTGTATTTTGCCTCATCTGTGTCACATACGTCTCTCTTGTTTTATTGTGATCTTGTACCACTGAAGAAGGGCCACGCCCGAATATATATTGGTTTATTTTTTTTTTCTATTTCTGATAGAATTAAGCAACAGGTT